ATAATGTTGTTTCTCCCCCTTCCATTTTTTCCATATGGTTGCAAAGATGTCCATAATTTTTGTGTTTCCTAAGATGTATCTGTGATTGACGAGTATTTGTTGAATTGTTGGTAGGATAAATTATTGCGTGGATGGATTTTGCACGAGCGCCGCCTAGAGGAAATAACCAAATTTTCTGAGATGCCCCGTAGTAACGATTCAACCTCCGTATGATGTTACCATGCTCTGTAGTTTATATCATGTTTTGTTTTATCTCTGTTTTCCCTACCTAATAAAATATGCATTTTTTCTGTGCAGCCTTCAAGAGATGCATATGATTCAAGTTTTGGTGTAGCTGTGTCCCCTGGAAATCTTGTCATTGCAACTGTATGATGTTTATTTTCTATCTTAATCTTGCATATATGTTTCAATTTTGCAGTGGCCCAAATGTCAGCAATCAACGGTGTAGCCCTAAATAAAAGAAAGTAGATTAAGTTAGTAATCATCATCTGGATTCTTTAAAATTTTTTCATGGTAAATTGACAATTTATTTCTCTAAGCTTGGTTCTTTCATGAAAGACTGGGTTTGAAAGAAATTTGGAAAACAACTTGATATTTGGAGTACAGTTTCATTGACTAACGACCAAATTCAATTTAAACTTTGAAGTAACTGTTTGTTTCACCCATATGAAAGCTCACAAGTTACCACTGCCATAGTTTAATTTTCAGCCTCTTCACTAGATTGAGTAATCATACCTCCATCAAAGACCTAATAACTTGGAGTGCATTGCCTATCAACAAGTGAACCAACCCAATTTGCATGTGAATATCCCACAATATCGTAAAATTTGAATAGCTGCATCCCAAATTTCAACACATATTGCATGTATTGACTCATCAACAGATCGTAAAGGAAATATGTAACCCCTTGGATCTACCAAAATCTGATAGATACTTAAAGAAACTGTAACAATGATAGAAACTGAGGGAAAGAGAGGGAAGGTAGATTGCATTTTCTGTTGTCCTTCATTTGTTGTTTGAATCACAAATGTTTGTTTCTTGCAATAATTTCCCATACGTTACTATACCATTGTTTATTTAGAGGCCTAAAGCCACTTTTGAAATGAGGCCTTTAAAATAGATTAATAACAATTAATTTTTGTGGTTGCCAAGAGTTGAACCAAAGACCCAAAAGATATGAGGCCTTCCTTTTACCCACTCAACTATGAGAATTAATGTAAATTATATGTCATTTTATATATTTATAACTAAATTGAGCTTTTTAAGGCCTTTTTTGGCCCAAAATTTTGAGGCCTAAAGCCCTTGATTAGGTCGCTTTACCCTTGGGTTGGCCCTAGAAGCACAAAATCAATTCCTTAACCCCAATTAATCGAGGTCTAACAATTTATGTCAATCTCAGTTAAGCTTTTAACAATTTTTTTTTGTTTTTTTTTTTTGTTTTAAGGAGGAATGTGATGAATGGATTGATTCTGTGCATTTTTTGGCTATCAAGTATACATACCCATGAAAAATTAATTTCCTTGCTTTTGCTTTGAACATGTTATGTTATTTCTGAGTTATTTTTTGATTATTTATTACAGGTTCATTGCTTTGATATTGATAAACTGAATCGAATGTATGAAGGAAGGTATAAACATGATTTCATGGCTATATATTTGTGTCCTTCCTTATTGGTTGAGTTTTTCTTGAAAATTGAAACAAGAAACAAAATTGGGGAGCTTCGTGTTTACACTCCTAAGCTATCTTTTATTTTCTTTTTGTTCCTTATATTTTCTAAATAGAGATTTTATGAATTAAAATTAACAAATTTGGACAGGATTCTGAGGGCAGCTATCGACTACTTTTGGATTGGTGGGCTACAAATAAATGTTTGGTTGAAATCTCCATTTTCACGTTGCATTGAAGAACTTCCCAGTTTTCTTGCGAAAGAATTAACTTATTGGGGGACCAATATCATATGGTCTTTAAACCAGTATCAATGTCTTGATAAGGCTCTGGTTTTATGGGATTTAAGTGCAGCATTATTTGCTTTCATGGATAACAACTCAAAATATGTAGAACATTTAGTGATCAAATGGCTCTCATTATCATTTATGGAATCTCATACTAATCTTCCTCCTGAAGAAGTCTTATCACGTCTCATTTCAAGGTTGTCAGACGTTCCTTCTCGGCTGCTACACTTGCTCAATATAATCTGTAGACGAGTAATGTTAGCAAAGCTGGATCCTGATCAGATAACCAAAATAAACAACAGAGTTCAAAACGTAGAAGGGGCATGTCCTGCCGTTAATGAACAAATGACTAAGTGGATAGAAATTCTTTTAGGCAGTGAAAGAGAGCTCCGTGAAAGGCACGTGGGTTTTAGTTTCTCTGCTGTCAAAACTACCAAGTCCAAAACTACCAAGTCCCATCTAAAATCTACGCCATCCAAACCTGGCTGCTGGTATCCTTCTGGATTAAAACAAATGGAGCAATGGGTTGCTTTAAATCAGGAACACATACGGGACCAGTTGAAATTCATTGTACCGAAAGCTACTCGTGAAAAAAGGTACTGCTTGTATCAAAGTGACACCTTTATAAATTGTTTTACTACTCAACCAATACATTACAGTTCATTGCCATTCACGAGGATACATGTTATTTCTATTTGACCACCTTTTTTCCTGAATAAAGAATCTTTTCCTTTTCAGTCATAATGAACGAAATAAGGATTTTATTTTAACTAACGAAGCTAGAAAATATCTAGGGATGATGTTTTTCCTCAATAAATTTCAGAAAAATTGCAAAAAAAAAAAAAAATAGTAATAATTTTGTAACATTTGCCTTGTTTCGATTTGCCTAACATTTCCTTAATTTTGATTAGTAAATTCTTGTTTATAAAGAATTCCTTACAGTTAGAAATTTGTTAATGTGAATTTGCAGAGTAACAACTGTAAACTTGTTTGGATGCATTATAGTCATAAAATACGGTGGCTTCAATTCAGAACTTAAAATATGCTAATCACAATACATATTGTTTTCTCTTAAATAACAGGTTTGCGAACAAGAGATGTTCAGCATTGGACTCATGCAGTTATTGTTCAGCAGCTGTTCCATTTGAATCCCCAGAGTTTGGTTTTTGTGAAAGTAAAGACTGTACCAGTGACAACGTTAAACGCCGCAAGTTATTGAGATGTTCTGTTTGTATGGAGGTTTGTCCTAATACCCCCCTGTGGTTTTGTGTATGTTGCCACAGGTTTGTGTTTAAATTGGCTCCAGAACCTCTTTTTAGGATGTCTTCATGTTGTTTAGATACAGACTCGTCAAATAGATTTTCCTCTCAAGCAGTATCCTCAAAACCATTATGTCCCTTTTGTGGGATTCTGCTACAGAGGAAACAACCAGACTTTTTAGTTTCTCCTGCACCTGTATAAGAATAATAGTTATTTATTTATTTTTATTTATTCATTTATTTATAATTGTGTTTATTGTGATTTTAAGAGGTTTTGATTCTTGTATCATAGCCTTCATCTGCTGTTTATTATACATGAGATGAATTTGATGCTTGGCAAAAGAGGGTTGAATGAAAAGGTTGGTTCTCAAAATGTCTTTTACCATTTAATTTAAACAAGAGAAGTCATGTGGGGCTTTAAAGTAATTATAGAGTGGTGGACAATGAATCTTAGAAAGTATGTATCAAAACTCATTTCAACGAATGTGAAAAGTTATAATTTTAAAAAAGGGCTGGTTGAAAAAAGTGACTTGTGTTCTTCAAGAAAGTCACTGAATTGTCGTGTGCTATATCCACACCACTGATTTTCTACATTATGTTGGTGTGCGGAAATGAATTTTCATATTTAAACTCAACTCAGTCGACAAACTTGGTCTTTATTTTTTTATAACAATAAATTTACTTGTATAAGATTTATTCCAAAAAAACATATTGTAATAAAAATTTCACTTCATTCAACCTATGAGAAAATAAAGCAATTTTCGTTCTTCTAACTTGATTAAAGAATCAAACTTAAAAGAAAGATATATGCCTAAAATCTTCATAATAAGATGCTATTTTGTATGTGGAAAAAATATTGTCAAATACTAAAAGAATGATGAATAGAAAGCCAAAGTTATATAGATTTCTTTTATAGCTCTTCTATAACCCTTACAGGCTAGAAGATTTTAGAAGCGTGGTTGCATAAGGATTCTTTCACCTATTTATTCTTTACTCTTTACATCTTTTGTTGCTTTATTTAATTGTAGAAGAATAGTGATTTCTAGTACAATCATATTCTGTCTTCTTTTCTAGCAATGTCCTTTTTTCAACTAGCAATAAACTAACGCAAGTGAATTGGCTAGACAAGAAGTGACATGGCATCCATGACAACAATGATATACACCTGTATGAAGGTTGTATCTATATTTATTTTCTCTATTTCTATGAAAGGAAAAACAAGGTTCACTTTCTTCATGCCTTTCACCTTTATTTATGCTATATTCCACCCAACATATATAAATTAATTAATTGAATATCATGTAACTGTTCAAACACTTTGACTTCGACACGTGTTAGACACCAATATATCTTCAATCAAAATTGTTGGTATTATTGAAATTCTTATTGTCACACACGTTGATGTCTGACACTTTATCGATCAAAATTATTTTATGTCATTATTGTTAGAAATTTCTTTTATTTTTTAAATATTTTATTTCAAAACAACAAAACAAACTTGTTACAAATTCTTTTCCCTTTTTTTCTACTATAGCACTTTCGTGAACATTCTAGTCTTATTACTCTCAGATTTTAATATAAAAAAATTAAATATTCAATGTATTTGAACTGTATAATAAATCAAATACATTAATTATTTAATAAAAATAAAAAGTCAACATTTTTTAATAAATAAAATCAGAGGTAGTAATTCGAAAACCACCCAACAATACAGCTCCTTGGTTTTAAATCAAACGCCATCTATAAAAAGGATATATCATTCTAAAATTATTATCAACATCAGTGAAAGATGGAAAAAACACACCAAGTTGGAGTAGCCATGGACTTCTCTCCCACCAGCAAACTAGCCCTTAGATGGGCCGTTGATAATCTGATCAACAAAAATGATCATATCATCATGATCATTGTTCAACCTCCCTCAGCTGATCACACCAGAAAACAGCTTTTCGAAAACACCGGTTCACGTTAGTGCCTTATTTTCATCATCTTTCTTTTAAATCACAGATAGTTCTTTCTTGCATCATAATCTATAACAATTTTTTTTTGCGTGTACAGCTTTGGTGCCTCTAGAGGAATTGAGGGAGATAAACTTTACAAAGCAATATGGGATTGCCAAGGATGTTGAAGTCATAGATATCCTTGAAACTGCTACGACCAAAGGGGTATTTACGTAATTGAATATAATCATATATGTCAATATCGATATCGCGTATCAGACTTTGCTTTTAATTTGAAGTATTGGTGTTTTGAATCAGGCAAAGGTAGTTGCAAAGGTGTATTGGGGAGATCCAAGGGAGAAATTGTGCAGTGCTGTGGAAGATCTTGAGTTGGACTCATTGGTTGTTGGAAGCAGGGGCTTAGGTACCATTAAAAGGTACTAAAATTTATCTTTCACTAAATTAATTTGAACGTTTTAAGAGAAGTTTTGTGTTTAGTTTGATTCAAAATATTGTTTAAATATTTGACATATTTTTTCTTCTTTTTTTCAGTGTTTTGTTAGGAAGTGTTAGCAAGCATGTGGTTACAAATGCTTCTTGCCCTGTCACTGTGGTCAAGGGAACGCAATCTTCAAAGTCTAGGCATTGATATTATTGATATTTACTATAGGTTTATATACATATGAAAAAAATAAATTACTTAAAGATTGTACCCTTTGAATAGCTTTGGCTAGCTTGAATAATTGTTTTTTTTTTTGGGTATGTTTTGTATGTGATTAACATATAAATTTGAGTAGTATTAGCAATCATCTTTACAATTTATCATTTAGTTACATCTTATAATGATAATTATTTGCCCTATAGTATGGAATATGGATGAGAGACTTGTTTTCAATATAATAATTAATTTTTTTTATATTTTAATTTTTATAAAAGTGGTCTAAAGCCACCACAAAATATATTAGAAAAAAGATCTAGTTATATAGACAAAAATAAGGGAAACAAACCAAAACTCCTTAATGACAAACTATATAGAAAGGAAGACCTATGGAATTTTTAGCAAAATTCATAAGAATGTTCTTATGTATCATATCTCACAACATGTAAATCTAAATTAGGAAATTATCAACGCAATGATTACCTTCCCAAAAGATACGTGATATTAAAAAATGAATGGACCTAATATGGTGCAAGGCGTTCCCCCATCTATTACGAAGTTTTCTTGAACGCAAAAACAACCAACTTCAAGTCAGTTTCTAACCAAAGATTATTCTAATTTTTGTCTTTCACAATCTCAATGGCCACTATGATAGCCTTAAGCTCTGCCATGAGAGCATTTCCAACTCTAATATACATCAAAAAGCTACCGAGGTGATTACCCTTATAGTCCCCGTAAATACCACCACAAACAGCGACACCCAGAACTTCTACAGCTGCACCATCAATATTACACTTCACCCAATTCAAAATATGATGGTTTAACTCCCACAGCCAAAGAAATTCTTTCACAATACAATACTTTGAAGGGTTTAACTTCACATTGCAACTAAAAAGAATATTGTAATCCAAATTAGAGATAGCATCCGTTTTAGTAGACGCATTACCCATTCGAGAAACATCAATGATCATGGCATTGAATGCCTGTCTTTCAATAAATTATCAGAAACATCAATGATCATGGCATTGAATGTCGTCTTTCAATAAATTATGATGTTATTGAATCTAAGATTGTTCTGAGCCTACCGTATGACATAAAATGTGTGTAAAATTGTTGCCAAAACAACCAAATTATATTGAGCAGAATAATTGTCTTGCAAAACCTCCCAACAGTCATCAATTGATCGGATGCTATGCGATAAGATCAACATAAACTGTCTCCAAATATTGTTAAATATAATTCATAGTGTAAATATATTTGATTTGATATGATTTAGATTAGATTTGATTTTGAATATTTTGGGCCTTTTATGTTTTGGGCCTTTTATGTTTTGGGCTTTTGTAAACCTAAAACTATAAATAGGGTGCCTTGCTTTGTATTCTACACAACATAGAACAGATTTCACAGTTGCAGAGTTTAGCAAGTGAAAGTTCAATAGTAATCAGAAATCCCACAGTTTGTGGGTAACACAATTTTCTCCAAATATTTCTTCTCTCATTCTTCTCTTTCTTGTTGTTTGTCTGTTATTCTTCTTCTCTTTAGTTGTTCTTGATAACTCTTTACTTGTTATCACCATTACTATCATATTGTGGGTTTGTTCATCAATCTTGAGATCAAGATTTAAGGGAATTCTTCGTAGGGTGTGAGGTGAATTTCCAACATCTGGTATCTAGAGCTCCGGTTGAGTGATTCAAGGAAGGAAGATAGTGGCGATGAACTATCCGAACGATAACTTTCCGGCGACCCTGCCAATTCTCAAGAAAAACAATTATGAGAATTGGTGCAAGCAGATTAAGGTGATTTTCTGTTATCAAGATCTTTGGGATCTTGTGAAGGACGGACAAAAGCCACATTCAATGTTTCGATTGCCAGAAGTATGGTCATTATGTTAGTGATTGTCCAGAAAGGAAGAGAAATCAAGAGACTGATGCAAAGCTGGCGAAACATGAAGAAGGAGAAACGTTGCTAATGGTCACAACAAAAGATGAAGAAAGATTCCAAGATCAGTGGTACATGGACTCAGGATGCTCATCACACATGACTGGAAGGAAAGATTGGTTTGTCAACATGAAGCCCTTGTCGAAGAACACAGTGAAGTTTGCAAATGACAACCCTCTAGCAGCCAGAGGTGTTGGTGATGTTCTGATTATGAGGAAAGATGGAAAAAGGTCAACAATTTCCAATGTTTTGTACATACCAGACATGAAGAGTAATTTGCTCAGTATATGGCAGCTTGTCGAAAAGAACTACAAATTATTTGTCGAAGAAAAGATGATGAGAGTTCTCGACACAGGTGATAGATTAATCTTGAAGGCTCCAATGCCTTAGAATAGGACCTTCGAGATTGGACTCAATGTGATGGAGCACAAGTGTCTAGCAACTGCAGCTAGCAGAGATGAGTGGTTATGGCATTTTCGACTAGGTCATCTCAACTTTAATGACATCAGAGAACTGAAGAGAAGAAATATGGTTTCAGGATTACCAGAAATCGACATTCCAAGTGAAGTCTGTGAGGAGTGTGTTCAGTCGAAACAACACAAGAATAGCTTCAGCAAGGATGCAGGAAGGAAGTCGAAGGCAATACTTGAAGTCATATACTCTGATGTATGTGGTCCAATCCAGGTGGGTTCGATTGGTGGAAATAGATACTTTGTCACGTTTATAGATGATTACAGTCGAAAGTTGTGGACTTACCTCATCAAGAAGAAAAGTGATGTGATTGAGGTATTTTCCAGATGCAAGTCCATGGTCGAAAGATAGAGTGGTCGAAAGCTGAAAATTCTGAGGACTGATGGTTGTGGAGAGTATGTGTCGAAAGAGTTCGATACACTATGTGTAAAAGAAGGGATTGTGCATGAGGTGGCGCCATCGTAAACTCCACAGCAAAATGGGATTGCAGAACACAAGAACAGAACCATCATGAATATGGTGAGAAGTATGTTAAATGGAAAGCATCTACCCAAAGAATTATGGGGAGAAGCAGTTTCGACAGCAACATATATATTGAACAGATGTCCGACGAAGAAGCTTGAAGGAATCACACCAGAAGAATGTTGGTCTAGTTTCAAGCCTAGTATCAGTCACTTGAAGATGTTTGGATCTATAGCACATAGACATGTGCCAGATCAGTTGAGAAGGAAGCTTGATGATAAGTCGAATCAGATGATCTTGATAAGATATCATTCGACAGGAGGTTACAAGCTGTTTGACCCAGTGAATAAGCAGGTAGTGATCAGCAGAGACGTGATCATAGATGAGCTTAAAGAATGAGATTGGACTGAGAATGCCAAGAAGGATTTAGTGAGAATATATTGTGATGAAGCAGCCAGTGAAGTCAAAATAGAAGTTCGACAGGAACCAGTTGCAGATGAAGCAGGTTCAAGCAGACCTCGACGAACAAGACACATGCCTTCAAGGTTGCAAGAATGTGTAATTACATCAGATGATGTAGTCGACGAAGAGGGTGAGCTGGTATATTATGCTTTCTACGCAGATGTCAAACCAGTCAATGCAGCTGAGGCATTGAAAGATCCGAAGTGGGTGAAAGCAATGACTGAAGAGTTGGAGTCCATCGAAGTCAATGATACCTGGTCACTTGTCGAATTTCCGCAAGGCAAGAAGGCAATTGATGTGAATTGGGTTTACAAGGTGAAGGTAAATCCTAAAGGAGAAGTAACTCGACACAAGGAGAGACTTGTGGCGAAAGGATTTCTTCAAAAGGAAGGAATCGACTTCGATGAAGTATTCACACCTGTTGCTAGAATCGAAACAATCAGGTTGGTTGTTGGTCTAGCAAATATGAACAACTGGAACACATGTCAGATGGACGTGAAGTGTGCATTCCTTAATGGCCCCTTAGACGAAGAAGTTTATGTTGCACAACCAACTGGGTTTGTGAAACAAGGCGAAGAAAGAAAGGTGTACATGCTTCATAAAGCCCTGTATGGACTTAAGCAAGCTCCAAGAGCTTGGAATAAGAAAATCGACATCTTCTTAAGGGAGAAGGAATTTGTGAAGTGTACTACTGAGCATGGAGTATATGTAAGAAGAAGCAATGGAGAATTGCTTATACTATGTCTCTATGTTGATAATTTGTTGATAACAGGGAGTTGCAAGAAAGAGATCGAAGATTTCAAATATGACTTGAGTAAGGAGTTTGAAATGTCAGACTTGGGAAATCTCTCATATTTCCTTGGCATCGAACTCAACAAGACAAGTAGAGGTTTGATGATGCACCAAAGAAGATATGCAGGCGAAATACTCAAGAGATTTAAGATGCAAGATTGCAACCAAACTTCGACTCCAACTGAGCTCAGATTGCAACTGTCGAAGGATTCAGATAAAGATGATGTCGACCCAACCCAATACAGAAGACTTGTTGGGTCACTTATATACCTTTGTCACACAAGGCCTGACTTAGCATACAGTGTTGGAGATTCATGCAGAAGCCAAAGGTATCACACCTAGCAGCAACGAAGAGGATACTGAGGTATTTGAAAGGAACTCTCGACTATGGAATTTTGTTTCCAACAGCTGATGAAGGAAAATAATGCAAGTTAATGGGATACACAGACTCCAGTTGGTGTAGTGATGCTGAGGATCGAAAATCCACAGCTGGGTATGTGTTTATGTTAGGTGGTGCACCGGTTGCTTGGAATTCGAGAAAGGAACCAGTAATGGCATTGTCATCATGCGAAACAGAATATATATCTGCTTCTCTTTGTGCATGTCAAGCAACTTGAATGGTGAACTTGGTCGAAGAAATCACAGGGAAGAATCATGGAGCAATTGCCATGAAGATAGACAACATGTCAGCTATCAACTTGGTGAAGAATCCAATAGCTCATGGTCGAAGCAAGCACATCGAAATGAGGTTCCATTATCTTCAAGAGCAGGTTGCAGAAGGGAAGATGAAGTTTGAACACTGCAGAACTGAGAATCAGATTGCAGATATCATGACGAAGGGAGTGCAGGACGAAGCCTTCAGAAGACTAAGAGTCATGATGAATGTAGACAGTTTAGACACAATGAATTAGGTGGTGTGTTAAATATAGTTCATAGTGTAAACATATTTGATTTGATATGATTTAGATTTGATTTGATTTTGAATATTTTGGGCCTTTTATGTTTTAGGCTTTTGTAAACCTAAAACTATAAATAGGGTGCCTTGCTTTGTATTCTACACAACATAGAACAAATTTCACAGCTGCAGAGTTTAGCAAGTGAAAGTTCAATAGTAATCAGAAATCCCACAATTTGTGGGTAACACAATTTTCTCCAAATATTTCTTCTCTCATTCTTCTCTTTCTTGCTGTTTGTTTGTTATTCTTCTTCTCTTTAGTTGTTCTTGATAACTCTTTACTTGTTATCACCATTACTATCATATTGTGGGTTTGTTCATCAATCTTGAGATCAAGATTGAAGGGAATTCTTCGTAGGGTGTGAGGTGAATTTCCAACAAATATTACTAGCAAACTCACACTTAAAGAAAATATTGCCAGAGCTTTCCGTGTGAGCCAAACAAAAATTACACCTGGAAGGAAAGTGTATCCCTCTAGCGGCAAGGTTTTCGTCAGTTGGAATTTTTTTATTGAAGAAATCTCCAAAATAGCAGTGATTTGGCAGTAGGAATAAAATTGTTCCAAATTAAATTTCTCCACGTCAAAGTTGGAACAACTTTCTGTTTGAAAGTATAGGCTGCTTTAATGGTGATTCCAAATACAAGCATCCTCCTTATCCTCAATCGAAATGTGAGTGTTAAAAAGAAGGTTATAAATGGAAGGAAAACGTGTGGTAAGACACTGAGGAAAGTTCCACTTTTGATTAGAGGCGTAGTCCGCAACTTTGTCATTAATGAAGTCTAAGTTGTTCACTGCCATTAACCATCCAAGTTATCAAGTTGAATTCTCTTTGACATCTTCAAAGGAACCCTTCATATTGCTCCACAAAGATGAGTATATGCTGTCGTTGA